AAGAAAAAAAAAAAAAAAAAAAAAAAAAAAAAAAAAAAAAAAAAAAAAAAAGTACTCGGGAGGGCGGAGATACTGAGCTGGGCCAGCTGCCGGCTTGACAGGAGTTATCGAGAGGGACGTAAAATCCTTCTCAATATAGAAGCTAGACTGATGCAACAGATGGCGATTGATCATGAACGGCTATGTTTGACTCAGAAAGTTGAAGTATTTGAGTATGCGATGGATAATACCACTGGTCAAGATCTTTATCGAGTGTTATGGCTAAAGAGTCGAAATTCAGAAGCTTGGTTGGATCGTCGGATCAATTATTCACGATCATTGGCTGTAATGTCGATGGTGGGACGTGAGCACAACTGCCTTTTTGTGATTTGAAGGTCCTTTGATAACTGATCATGATTGTGATGATAGACGTACTTGGGCTTGGAGATCGACATCCTTCGAATCTGTTGCTGGATAGACTTACAGGGATGATCATTCATGTCGATTTTGGTGATTGTTTCGAAGTGGCGATGACACGAGAAGTCTGTTTCCCCTAGATTTTGATTCACGTTTGATCTTCATTGACTGACAGCCCTTCATGATCGGTATTGCAATCTTTGAGTAGAAATGGCCCGAAAGGATACCGTTTAGGTTGACTCGAATGTTAGTACAAGCGATGGAAATCAGTGGGGTTGAAGGTACTTACCGAATCACAAGTGAGAACACAATGAGAGTGATGAGATCAAATAAGGAGAGTATTATGGCTGTACTGGAGGCTTTTGTACATGATCCATTGATCAATTGGAGATTGGTCAAGGGTGGTCGACAATTAGATGAACGAGAGGGTGGTGCTAACACAGGTACGAGCTTTCAGATGTTTCTTGATCAAATCTTCTTCCTTGAAGCCTATTGATTGATGTTAACCATCGATTTTGATATGGTGTAGAGGGTGGGCCACGGATGCGAAGGCCAAGAGAAGTGGAAACCAATCTGTATGATACTGTTCAGGCCGAAGTATTGAATGATAAAGCCCTAATGGTCGTCAACCGAGTAGAGCAAAAACTAACAGGTAAGTTAGATGATTCCTCTTACATCGCACACGCCTTTCTCGTCGTGAAAGATAAGGTGATTGATGATATGACTATGATTTCTTTGTGGCGTGTGGTTATCAGGCCGGGATTTCAAGCCTAACGAAGAGTTGAGTGTCGCTGATCAAGTCAATAAGTTGATTCAAAAAGCTGTATCAGCCGAGAACCTGGCACAATGCTTTACTGGATGGTGTCCATTCTGGGTGAGTATTGAGAATCCTACTCGGCTTTTGATGCTATGTTGCAAGTATTGATGAGATGTATCTTTTTTGATGGGATATAGTGAACAATGTGAACTCAGGATTGAGATTCATCTTGCACTAATAAATATGTGAATCATTGCTCAACTGTCTATGACAATCTCTTTGTTGATGTATTATATTCTTCTACTGTATACATAATTGTCTTTGTCAACTCAGTATATCGTTTCTGATTTCAATATGAGATATCCTACGCAACTACAATATAAACAAATCAATATATATATGTTCCTTTTGGGGGTTAATGAGTTTGAACAAGTTGATTGGGGTTGGTTGAGCTTGGGTTTGTATGTAAATTGTTTATATCCTTTGAAAGTTTGGTCATAGGATCATTGTGATAGGAAATCTATTTTTGTTTTGTTTTCGATTAATCTTGTTTTAGGAATTGCATGACGAAATGATTCGGAGTACACATGTTTATTTTCTCCATTGCGTCCAATTGGTATTGAGTTACGGATCAAAACTTATTCTTGTCACTGTCCAATGTTGAGTTATCCTGAAGATACCATCAAGCACCCAGCGTCATTGAAGCAAAATAGTGACTTCTAAAGTGGGCAAAAGGTAAAAAGAAATGCCTCAACAGTGAGTCGAACACTGGACCTTTTGCTGCCATACTAGGCAAACGCTCTACCACTGACACCCCGGGCAAGGGCGTGACGCTCCACATGTAGCGTCATGCGGGCGCTTCGGACCGGGTCCGGAGCATCACGTGGAGCGTCAACGGGTGCTGCACACTTCACACGGAGCGTCAACATGTGCTGCACGCTCCCTGTCTGAAGCGTCACCGTGCCTCACACCCCATCTCCCATCTCCCTCGATTCACCACACCTCTTCGCTCACGTCTCTCACCCTCGTCCTGTCCCTTCCCAAGACTTCCAACAATATCCGATTCCACTATCATCGTATTATTCTATCTTTCACCAGCTTCAACGTGGTTTGATTGTTCCGTCTTTCACTCGAGTCTACGGTTTGTAATCGTTACATCTATTTGGTTTATCTGAACAAGGATTACGCTGATACCGTTTCTATCTCTCCTCGGGGTTTCGTCAACTTAGCTACTCTACATCACCTGTCACTGAAGAAACGTACAGAAAACACACCTCATGGACAACATCGCAACTGGCGATCAATCACATGCCGAGATGGGCTTAGTGCTTTGCACTTGCTCCGAATGCATCAAAAAAACGCATACCGATTCCTCAGGAAAGCAAGTGTCCGGCTTATGGATCAATCCAGGAACCCAAAGGAACCATAGACGAAGGATGGCTACCAAACCTGAAACCACATCAATCCTCGAGGCGTTAGTTGATGATTTTAATGCGAAGGCAAGCATCAAGGACACCGAACCAGAAGAAACCTCTTCTGAGTCAGATTCTGATTATATCACTGGTCCAAATGATCCGAATTTAATCAAACTAGTTTGTAAGTGACTACTTTGAAATGAAGTTCCTAACCAGAGCTAACGAAATTGACTTATCCATCATCTAGATCTTATCTTGTATTTTATTGCTTGGTTATATCTAGAATGTAGGATGACTCGGGATAACTGTAGGAAAGCGCGAGACTACATGATGCAAATTGCTGAAATGTGTACAAAATTCGACCTTCGCACCAACTGGGTCAGCTCGGTTCCGAAAGACGTCCGAACGATCACCAGTCGACTTCATCTCGAGGCGGATCTCGAGCGATTTGTATGCTGCCCGAAATGCTACACTCTCTACGAGCCAGAGGTTGCCCCAGCTGAGTGTGGCTATCGAGAACTAGCATCGACTGGGATTTGCGGCTCTGAGCTCTTTGCTAGTCACACTATCCAAGAACTTCCATCAATCACTCGAGTCTCCGAACAACGTCCACGAACTTCTGACAAAGTACTATTCAACAAACCGCTCGCCACTTTCATCATCCAAAATTTCCAGGAATGGTTAACCTGGTTCTTATCAATAGATTACATTGAAGATTCCATCGCTGACTGGGCCAAAAAAAATAGCTCAAATAACTCAGAAGAAGTGACGGATTATACTAATAGTGCAGCGTTCAAACATCTTTACAACGACATCGAATCATCCGCCTCCTCCCGCCATCGTCCTCTGCGCTTGGCTTTCTCTATGTTCATTGATTGGTTTAACCCGCTAGGTAATAAGACGTCTGGAAGACAAGTCTCGATTGGAATAGTCACAATGAATTGCTTGAATTTACCACCTCAAGCTCAGCATCTCATGAAGCACACCTTTCTAGCAGGGATAGTTCCGGCACCTGATCAGCCTGACATGACCACTATCAGTCATGTCCTGCGCCCGGTAGTGGATCAATTGCTTAAATTAGACTGCGGTATCAACATCAAAACTCATCGCCATCCGGAAGGCCTCAAAGTGATAGCGCGACTTTCTAATCTCAGTGGGGATATCGTGGCAAATCATAAAGTGGCTGGGTTCATTTCGCACTCAGGGACTTTTTTTTGTACCTGGTGCATGTTACCAAAGAAACAATTATCACAAATGAAAGTCGGCCGTTTACGAAATCGAAGGGACGTTATTGCAGCCGCCCACGAGTGGAAGAATTGTGAAAACCTCAAACAACGAGAAGCGAAAGTCACCAAAACCGGGGTACGATGGTCCGAGTTGAACCGTCTGCCATATTGGGATCCTGTCAAAAGTGTGGTACTCGGGGTAATGCACAACTGGTTCGAGGGCGTGCTAGCCAATCATTTCCGATTTCGATGGACCTTCCTTGTCAAAGATGATGCTTTTCTCGACGACAACACTTGTGAGGTAGATGTTGACGAACTTGAAACTGGTGAAGGATGGCTTTCGGACGATCTTATCAACGCAATTCGTCAAAACTTGAGGTCGGTCAAGGTTCCACGAGGAGTAACCCGAATCCCATCGGGACTTGGCACTGCCGCAAATGGCAAACTCAAGGCGAGCGAGTGGCATGCATTGTTTGCTACACATTTACCGCTGGCTGCTATCGATGTGTTCATTGGGGATTACGAAGCCTTTGTCGAAAATAGATCCAACGCTTACCTGAACAAGCTATTACTCAATTTCTGTGCTCTTATCGAAGGCACTCACATTGTAGCGGCACGGAAGGTCAAGAAGGGAGATCCCGAACGATTCAAGCAGGCCTACTTCGAATACACGAAAACGTCGTATGAGATCGACAATGGTTGCAGGATTAAACAGAATCACCATTATGCGATTCATACGGCAAGTCAAATGGCATGGTGGGGCCCTATGTTGGCGGTTTCAGAGTTTCCTGGCGAGCGTATGTGTGGGTTCTTACAGAAAATTAACACCAATGGGAAAGTTGGTGAGTGAACTATCCTTATGTAACCAGTGAGCAAAGAAATGATGCTTACCTGATCGCATTGAATTCCAGAGGAAATGGCGCAGACAATCATGCGCCGATTCTGTCACCAACAGCGCCTTCTTTGCAAAGCTCCTCCCCCAAACGATCCGGTTAAAGTGGTTCAGCGTAACGTAGGCGGCCTCTTTGAAATGGACGACATGGTTTACGGCAAACTTCTGAATTATCATCAGGCTCAAGACAGCGCCTGGTGCGACTGGCGTGTACTTCCGTATCCTGATGGGGCGAAAGTTCTTTCTGCATATGCGCGCGAAGTTGGAGTGTTGACTTGTCTTTCAGGTACGAAATATAGTAAGAAAGCTCCCTCAAACATTGTGAAGGTTGAAGTCGAAAGTAAAATCAAATGGGGAAAGATATTGCATATCTTAATGTTGAAGGATTCAAACGAACCAATTGTGATGCTGCGATGGCTGGAGGTCGTGAGGGATCTAGCGCTTGATCAAATGTTCGAAAGGCTGAGTATGGTACGTGTGATTCAGAGTGCAAAGGAAGAATTCATACCTGCCTCCGCTGTTGTAAGTACTCTAGCCCATAGAGAGTTACCCTGCTGGACTCTTGGAATGAAGGAACCGAGCATGCTTTTAATGGGTGTCAATCCGGGTGAACATGATTATGTATTACCAGAAGGTTTGGATGATATGCAATTGGAAGGGGCATTGGGGGAAGCTATGGACGTTGATATAGATATGGGATGATGTTTAATTCTTGTCAATCTTGTATACATTTACTTTGTTTCATTTTACTTGAAATGAAACTCGTTTCTTTCTTCTTCAGTTTCACAAGTGCTTTTCCTCACGAAGTTTCAATTAGTTTCAATCATCACATTTGGATCATTGGAATAAAGACATAACTTTCAATTTCTTTCTTTAAGTGGCCATTTCACTATAAACAATTTCATTACAAGATTCATTTGAGAGGAACAAGAAAGAAAACAAAAGAAAGAAAACAATATTGAACCTGAGATGAACAAGAAAGAGACCAAATAGGAACCTAACCACAGTCACAGATGAGGTGATCAAACAAAAGAAAAGAACGACACAATCAAGCGTTTTTCCAAGCCTCATATCTTGCAACTCGAGCCTCCTCCTCGCAATCATCTTCCATTTCTTCGTCATCCACAAATAATGGACCCTGGCCCTTTGCCTTGTCTTTCCCCTTCCCAGTCCCACAATCAGCAAATTGACTCTCATCTTCCAACTCGAGATCCTCTTCTTCATCCTCGAAATCTTCATCTTCCAAATCTTCGTCATCATCTTCATCGTCAGTCAAATTTAAATCCACACTACTGCCTTTTGCAGTTGAATCTCCAGACTCTGAATCCTCGTCTTCTTCATCAGGTTTAAAATGATCCAAGTTGTAATTCTTAGTCGCTTCAGACCAGTATTTTTCGGTAAACTTTCTATCGGGTTTCTTCTCGTCAGGATGAGTTTTCCCCAAAAGCGAAAGTTCCGGGTTGGGCAGGAAGGCCACGTTATCGCAATCGGCGATGGTAGTTCTTTGAGATACTGACAAGGTGTCATTGAACCAATCGGCGTCGTAGAAGTCGATTGGGAGGCCCCTCGGGGGTTTGGTGAAGGTTGACGGTCTAGCTGGTCGAGGACGAACCCGGGTGCGTGGCTTGGCTTTTGGAACCGGACCGATTTCAGATGAGATTTTCATATGATCATCTAGCCTTCGTATGAAGATACCGGCTTTGGCAGACCGATAAGCTGGCGTTTTGACTACGTAGGCTTGTAATTTGGCCGACCACTCGTCGTCACTGTGAGCTTCAGGTGCCAGAAGGATTTTCTGGTATCGTTTTGGGAAGCGGTGGTCGGATGCGTGTTTAGCTCGAAGTTTCATAAGCTGGAATTGAACAAAAATAATAGTCAGTTTCAACCCCTCGCCAGAGACAGAGAAATTGTAAGAGAGAAATCATGCTCACCCTTCTTCGACGAGCTAGAGCATTCTTCCTTTCGTCGTCCTTCAGGTTTTTCCCGTCCTCTTTAAGTTCTCTCCTGTACTTGCGAGCATACAAGAAGTGTACATAATGGTTATAGGTGCGTTCCAGGAGGAGGATTTCGTTGGTGAATTTCGTGTTGATATTCATGTAAGCAAATGCATCGGCAGCAACCCACTGTCGAAAGATTCGGAGTGCGCTAATTCGACACGCTTCGTTCCAAAGGGTGTCCTCGGCGCTATCAAGATCAGGACACCATTCGCGAATGCCAAGCTTAGCAAACATCGCCTTCGTGTAAAGTACAAAAAACTCCTTGATGTTGACTATACTACCACCGACGTTCACGCGATCAGCTGCAGGTACCTTCACTTCACATTGGTCGACTAGATCCTTGGCTGTTGTGCTATCCAATACGCCTTCGATGTCGGATGATCTTGAGAACCGAGAGTTGAATTCCAGAAGATGTGCGGGATTTGGCGGCTTAGGTACAGCAGACGAAGACGTTAACCCCCAAATGATACGAATGAATACATAAAAACAGTTCTGAAAGAAGCATTGCATAATGTTAGTGTTGTTTTTCCGAACCAACTGAAATGAGAGCCACCTGCCTTTGTTGAATCAAATCCTTCGGGCCATTCTGTTTCGTTCAACTGGGCAGGATGTCGTTTCGGCGATGGTTTTGGTGGTCCGGTGGCTTTAACGCGAGATGTCGGTACTTTAGATGATGATGATTTTCTTTGAGGGGTCGAAGATTGTTGAGATGGCCTCTTGCTAGGGGTACGGCTAGACTTTTCCGGGATAGGAGATTTCGACGGCTTGTGAGGGATAGAGCCTGTTGAAGCTCTCGGCGTCTTCTTCTTCTTAGTCGAATCAGAAGTTGAGGATGATGTGTTCTTGACACCTACATCTTGAAACTTATTGAGGAGATCTTCGTACGCTTTCTCTCGAGCCGCCGCTTCCTTTTGCATTTGTTCAAGCATCCTGTTTTGAGTTGCAATCTGCGCTTGCTGAGCTTCAAAGCTCTTCAAGAGCATAGCTTGAAGGTCATTTGGTGTTTGAGTGTTGGTGGGAGGTGGTGTTTGATCGTTTGGTGGGTTCATTTTGAAAGAAGAAGGTGGTAATGAACAAAGGAAGATTCAATGGTTTGTAGATGAAGTACTCGAAAGCAGGATGAAGAAACGACTGACCAATGAGACCAGCTCCTGATTTATAGATATTCGGAATATGTGATACGTAATACTGATCATTTGATGCAACCGAGATCAGTAGTGAAGATTTTCCCGAACGACTGCTATAGGAGGGACCCACGATCAGAATATGTAATACAAGTTCAAGTTTTAATTAGTAACTCCACTAAATATGACTAAGGGTTCCTCCTTTTGGTCGACAAAGGATTTGAAATCACCTGAGCATTCTAGATAGACACTGAAAAGCTTGTCCAAACTCAGACAAATACGTAGTCCTTTACCGATGGATGATACCCACGCTGAAAAGGGTCTTACTCATTTGACCAGCCACGTCACGCCAAGCGAAGGTAGGGTCCGGACTCGAGCAAGGAAATCCTGATGTGGTATAAGAACTGAGCGATGAGATGTTGGAAGTCTTGGGAAGGGACAGGACGAGGGTGAGAGACGTGAGCGAAGAGGTGTGGTGAATCGAGGGAGATGGGAGATGGGGTGTGAGGCACGGTGACGCTTCAGACAGGGAGCGTGCAGCACATGTTGACGCTCCGTGTGAAGTGTGCAGCACCCGTTGACGCTCCACGTGATGCTCCGGACCCGGTCCGAAGCGCCCGCATGACGCTACATGTGGAGCGTCACGCCCTTGCCCGGGGTGCGAACGGCTTAACAATGCGTGACTAGCCAACGTGGGTGCTTCTGCCATCTTGGGTTCCTACCTAATGTGTAAGAAACCTAATTTTTTTTTCCACACTTTTTGACATATTCCTACATACAAAATAAGGCTCCTGTGTGACTTTTTTTTTCAAATTTTTAGAATTCCTACACAGAACATAAGGACCATTTTTACCCAAAAAGGCCAATTCCTACATACCCAATTAGGCGGATATATAGGGGCTTTCCAGGGTCCTCACATGGCTCGTCCTAGATTCACATAGCAGAGTTGCACACTTATCCGTCAGGCTTTTTTCCATGGTGTGGCAAAGGGGGTCCTTGTCAAACCTTGGAAAAAAGAGGGTTATGTTGAATCAGAAGTTCTAAAGTGTCATAATTTAATCTACTAATAGAAGTACACATGTATGTATATTCACGACATTCAACAAACTCAAATCAACAGAGCCCCAAAAGATTATACACAAATATGACCCTTACTTCTTGGTTAGCTCACTATAGCAATTGTACGATGCGCTGCGCCGTATTGCTCATCATGATTGTGACTGTATGTCTTTACGCCATTCCTTCTCTGTCATTATTTTTACTCTCCTTCTGCATTGTAATGGCTTCCCCCCTGGAGAATGTGAAGGGACAAATGAGAGTGAATTTGCTTGATAAATTAATTATTTTCTTAATAATGTTCATTCTGACTTTTCCCTGTGTTAAACTTTAGTATCGGTCGTATAATTATTACTAACATCAACACCACGAAGCATCGAGCTCTTCTCCTCCTCCTTCCTTCTTCGGAATTGCTTCCTATACTTCGATCTTTCGTATGTCACGATTCCCACAATCTGTTTTCACCACCCACCAGGAGAAATCAGCCATCTGACCGAAGAAGAAATTGGCGACAGAATTGGAAGATACTCACAATCAATGCAATACCCGAAATTCCTCCAAAGATACCCAGTCCGATTGGAAGAACCATGATCGATCGCCCAGGTAACTGAAAGGCTGTTTCCATCGGTGGGTCAGCTTCATCGGCTTGAGTCGGGCTGAAGATAACAGGAAAGAAAAAGGGAATTGATCGATAAATAAGTCATGTTTTTCTTCCGAAAGATATCCAAGAAGTGTTTCTGAGTCCGAGTTGCATACCTTTCTTGTTGTCTAGCCAAAGTTGGAGCCGGCGGTGTTTGGATTGTTTGGATTGGTTGGATTGGTGGTACTGGAATCGGGTTTGTCGCCGCAAGATTGGAAACTATAGGAGCTTGAGGAATATTTGGAGCTTGAACTTGATTGCGAGCGGTCTGATTGACTACTAGGGGAGCATTCACCGGTAGAGGGATGGTAGGAGTAGGTTGTTGTACAGGAAAAGGAGCGGGAATACGAGCGGGAACAGGAGTGGTAACAGGAGCGGCAACAGGAGGAGGAACAGGAGCGGCAACAGGAGTGGCAACAGGAGTGGCAACAGGAGTGGCAACAGGAGGAGGAACAGGAGCAGGAACAGGAGCAGGAGCAGGAGCGGCTGCCAAGGGTGGGGTGGGGTTGGCAACTACGGGTGAGATAGGTTGATTTTGCCTCTGAGGGGTAGCTGTCGTCGGGCTTTCGTTAGAGGAAGTAAAGAAAGGATTGAGTGAGAGACCAGAGTAGCACAAGCTGAATCTGATAAGAATTCGGCGTTCGAGTCAATTGCTTTTTTTGAGGCCAAAAATTTGTGTTAGTACTCGAAGACCATGGTGGATTTGATTTGCTCATACCACAGAACGAAATTCAGCTACTCACATCGGGGTAAGCTGCGTTTGAACAATCCCCAAGGCGAGTCTCTGACTAAATTTGAACGCTTGTTCATGCGACTCGTGAGGTCAAAATATCGGCTTTCGATCTCATCCACGCCACGACCCACAAGTCGTATTCCAGAAGGTGAGGATTCGCGGTCGAGTTGATTTCTCTTGACGAACCCCGAGGCAGGAATAGAATGATGAAACAAGTTGAGATGAAAAGTTCCTAATAGGACTACCTCCCTATTAGCGCAATGAGATGTATAATGGGGGTTACTGGGATTGATCAAATGCTCTGGATCGTCTGTTGGCGCGAGTGAAGACCGAGTAAAGTTGAGGGTTCCTGGTCTGCTGGACTTGATAAATTCGGGTGCAGATTCCAACTGATCTTTGGTTTCAAGACTGGAAAATGATATCTCAAGTCTTGCGGAGTTTGAAAAGTCTTCTAGGTCAATGTGACTTTTCTCCTCTAATTCACTTTTGTTTCCTATCCGAAATACACTGAGGTAGCCACCAAAGGAAGACGAGGTGTGATCAACAAATCCCAATGAGTAACACGTCACAACTGCCAAATTTCGGGGGGAAAACGTCGAGAATCAGTAAGTATTTAAAAAGACGAGTTCTTCGTTACTGACCACCAGGCGAGATTTTATTTCCTTCATGTTCAGCGGTTTCTCGCATGGATTGAACGCATCCTTCAGCCACTGAAGTCATGAATAGCGCACTGCTCTCATCGTCTGATAAAGTTAATTGGTTTGAAAGATCGCGCCGGTTGATCCTGAATTGAGAGGATGGAACCAAAGCGGTTGAGAGTGATGGCGAGGATAAATCTCTCTGTATCCTGTTCTGACCATTGAGATTCTGCGAGCCTTCCATCGTGTTTGGAGAATTTTGAGAGAAGGAGACCGCGCAGGTGGATGTGCTGAGTCCAGCAAGCTGTGTAGATGAGACGGGGACTGATGTGGAGTTTTGTTGAGGTTGCACTAAGATTACAGGTCAGAAGTATTGATGAGTATTCTTCGCCTCGTGAAAGACAGCGATTAAAAAGAGTCATGTTCGTTTTCATTTCCATCAAGAGGCTTACCTAATCTTATAGTTTGACTACGCGTTTCGCCGGGAGAGGCAATCCTATCTACAGCAGAAGTTGTACCGGCGAGTTCAGAGAGTGGTCCAAAAGTGCTTCGAATCTGATGGCGATATTTGACAGTTGAAGTGGTGAGGCCAGCAAACGCTAAGAGTGAAATTACAACGAGACTTGATCCATTTTTTCTCATCTTGAGAAGGATAAAAGAAAAAAGAAATACTTGGGGCAGAGGCCACCCAAAAAATAATTTTAGTTACCAACCCTGAGGGAGGGAAAGGGGAGCAGGGAAAAAACGATCAAACTACACTCCACGAATTAAATCTACAAGGATGATACTCGCATAGACCTGCTAGCAAGATCCAACACTTGAATCGAAAGTGTTGAAGGGGTGAGTTGTGATCTCTAATGAGCGGGATGCACTCAAAGAATAAAAATTATTTCGGGAGAGAAAAGGGACTTGTGTCTGAAAGCCAAGTATGAAACATGGAATACTCCACGCTAGAACAACGAAAATGAAGGAGAGCTAGATAATGCTGAAGGGCTAGTTTGGGAGAATTGGGTCTCCAAGCAAAATGAAAACTCCTCCAGGCGATGTTGATAATGAAGAATGGCGTGGCTTTTAAGATGATGGAGATTGAGTCGATTTAGCCTGGCACGAAACTAAAGAAGGTGATCGAGATGATCTTGAAGCCAGAAGTTGAACGTGGCAGTTTGAAGAACGGTCTGAACAATAAGATACCAAGTCGCACACTCAACACTCGATTACAAGTCGGAAATCCTGTGAGTCGATTAAGAACATCCAGGTTATCGATGAACAAGAAAAACAGTTGAGCTCTTTAGGATTGTAGGATTGATGATGGATTATGCCACAAGAGCTATCTATCGAAAAATTTAATCAAGAGATGAGAGAAAGTATGACTTCTAAAGCAATCGTTGGTTGGCCAGACTACCCTGGATGTATACCGTCCTAGTCCTGATCGACACAAGGATGGAAACAAGAAGAAATGATGAACCATTCCATTGGATTTTGGTATACTAATAGTCCCAAACACACATAAATATACACAACAACATCCGACAACGAAGGCTGATGAACATGGGCCGGTGTTGGGATGGCCGATCAAATCAGCCGGTGAGGATAACCTTCAACTCCCTTTTCATTCAAGGCTTTACCACCACGACCTGTCTTATATGATCATTATAAGGAACCACACTATTCTCTTACTCACAACCTCGAAGTTATCCCATCAGTATTTTTGGTCATTGTCCTACAATTGACCTTTCCAAATTCTGCTGCCTCGCCTTTCGTTTCGTCAACTTTGATGCGATCAGATCGTTTCACCAAGATGAGATCTTGCTTGAACCGTCGTCAGTGATTGGATATCATTCAAGATGTCCTTCTCATGTACATACAGTCTGTTGCTTGTGACAGCCTTTATTTTTGGTGAGGGTTCTGATATGATGTTTTCATGGTTTTTCCATTTCCCATGTTGCCCATTTTGGAAACAAGATGACACAATATCTTACATTCCTCTTCAATTCCTTCTTATCTGACAAAAAATATCTTTCCTGTTTTAGTTGAATTGATTGGACCAATTTTGAGTGAAGTAAGCACTGTGCAAACTTACAGCCCTTGTGAAAAATAATGGTTTTTTTTTTTTTCTCTCCCGGATTTTACTCAGTTTCTGCCCTCTTGTTTCTTGAGAATTTTAGACTCAGCAGTGGGTTATGATCATCGAATTCCTCTTGCACATCCATCTTTTGACCACTATATCCAATCGTAAATCACTCGTTCGACAGTCACGACCTCACCACCCACTGCACACGTGATGAACTTACCTTTCGGATGGAGTCACGCCAGCCGGAACTGTCATGATTCCTCTTCGATTTGGATCCCTTCGATCCCAACGGATTCTCCCAATAAATCATTTCTTCCCCGTTCACCTCGTCTTCTTTCAATCCACTCGATAATCACTGCTTCGTCTGGGTATTTTGTTTCTTTTTTTCAATATTATCCCTTCAAGTTCTCTTTCCAACGCTATCAACTCATTATCGACATTTACTGTTTGTTTAGTGTGGTTCGTCGTCTTAGTGCTTCCATTGTCAACTACCCTTTCAAAATATCATTTCGATTCAAAGCTCCATTTGGTCAGTCTTCCCATGATCCAAAATTTTGATGGGACAATTGCATATTGATCTTTCTATTCTTTTGGTCAGCAATGCCACGTGATCCAATTATGAATTTGATTCATGAAAACGAGGATCCCGATGAAGGTTGGTTGTTTCATTCTATATCTTTCACTTGTTCAGAATGTTGATATCTGTTTCTCGTAGTTTTCGATCCACCTTATTCGATCTCGGATGGTGACGACGCCCCAGCGCGTCATCCCACTCTGGAGCGCCTTTGGCGCCAAGGCACTGAAAGCCGCCGCTTGATGGAAGAAAGTCAATCTTTCACCATCGCGGTGGCTTTCAAGATTCACATGAATGATTCAGTCGATGTGATGCCCGGTATGGTGAAAGCACCCTCTTCTTCGAAGGTAACCGCCAGCAAAAAGAAAGCACCACCTCCTCCTACCACCGCCGTTATTGATTCATCCGATTTCAAGGATGGCCAGATGTTGGACTTCAAAGTTTTCTTGTATGGGAAATCATTGAATGAATTTAAGGACTTGATTGGCGACGTTTGTGACGATTATTTCCCCGGAATCAAGAAGGTCGTTCTTGAGAGTGCGTTAGCACCGATGTTGACCTGGAACGCTAGTGTTGGTTCGAAGAAGAATAAACTGATCGATTACAAGAATTATCAAGAGTTTGTGAACAACTTGGACAAAAGTCGTTCCTCAAAAGGTACGATCAACATCGTACTTCAGAAAGCTCAAGTGAAGGAAAAAAGAAATGCACGGGTGTGCCCTTCTTTTGATATTTCATACTATTTTCAGCGGTTGAGTACTTTAATTTATGTTATCTGACGTTCTTCTTGGCTCTGTTTGCCCTTATGTCCCGATTTAGGCTAGTGGAGCAGTTGCTTATATCAAAGGAACCACTGGCCCGAACTCAATCGAAGCCGAACTAGCCGCGTTCAAGGAGGAAACCGCCCTCGCAAAAGAGGAAAGTTTAGTAAGTTTGATTCACTGCTGTGACCTTGGTTCAGATTGGTGGGCTAATCCTATCTTTCATCCCTTCGTGACCCAACTAGAAGGTCACAGCGGCCAAAGAGTTGGAACTTGAGGCTGCTACCATTTACAACGAACACCTAGAGCGCGCTCTGGGTGGCGATGGGGCAGTGTTGTTGGCGCCTTGGGACCCTAACTACCTTTATCGGTTTTCCCAGCTATGTGCTTTCATATGGGCTAAATGTATCGTCAGTTTTTATTTCTTTCCTATGTGCTTTGTTTGTTTCCCTATGTTGTAGGCATCGAGCTGACCTTTGTGTGTATTTCAGCGCGATGGCTACACCACTTGAGCCATCCCTCCGAACACGAGTGAATACAAGCGGGAGATGGCTAAAAACGCTGTCGAACACCCCGACACAAACGTGGACAACCGTGTAAAAAAACGTCACCCGGTGGCTAGCCCGAACCTTCGGAGTTCTACTTCGAAAAAAGAAAACCGCCACACCTTCTTTGCAAATCGACCTGCAGAGGAAGTCAAGGTCAAGGTGGAACCTTTGAGTCCTTCTGACTCTAAACGCAAACTCGAACGCACCCCTTCCCTTCTGACCAGCGGGACTGTCAAGAAGAAAATCAAACAGGAATCTCGTAAGTTACCCATAGGAGTCGAGTGGAACTTTGATTTAGGTCCAGATTCGAACTAACCGTCTTGGCATCCATCGCAGCCACGGGAAATACCCCTGATAAGGTTATTTCCCTTCTCACCTCTGAGGATCCACCCAAGTCCTCCATGGGTCACGTTTCAGACTCGGACGTGGAGACTGAGGTCACCCATTCGACCCTTTTGGACGACTTTTTGGACAAATGCGAGATTCCTCGCAACGATGTCTCTACTCGCACCATCCTCCGCAACGCCAACGTTTCCTCTTGGAACAATTTGGTCCCGAGTGTCCAAAGGACGGTGAATGTGTTGACTGAACATGGATTGTCCTTAGACATCGCTAGGCGCCTCTTAGATGCTGCCCAAGAGGACGACGCCGAAATGAAAAAGGCCACTACCTCCAAATGAAAGTATCTTAGTTATCCAAAAGCCCAGTAGATGGGCAGCGACAAGACATCCCTCCCCTCCCCAAAGAACAACTTGAAAAGTGCAATGCAGTCTTACACAACTTAGTTCCTCCAATTTTTTCTTTTACTTGGTTATGTTTCTTTAACGCTCTTATAGCCTTGTTTCCGGTATCTTGTCAACTTTGAGTATTATCATTTGTAAACAGTCTGAAATGGCCTTGTCGAAATGAAATCTCCAGTGAACCTTCCAAGATGAAAGCGAGCCTTTGAGCATGAGCCGAGATGAACCACTGCGCAAGCACCTGTGCTTCTTGATCCAAGAAGCACGTCAGACAATCTGACATTGAAACTGGCCACCGATTCCGAAATGACAGACTTCAATGAAATCATTCATTTCGAGCATCTCACCGGAAAACTCCGAACTTTACCAGCTCACTTTACGGTATACTTGTTAAGTTAATGGCTCAAACTTGCAATTATGGAAACGAAAAACTTTTTTTGCTTGTCAAAGTCAAGAAAGACAACATTTATTGATTCATTTCAATCAAAACCGTACATGATTGAGAAATGATAGAAATGGAAAATAACGTATAATACAAAATAACTACATATAGCCACTACCCTTGAAAAGTTTGTCGCACAGTTCATCAGTAAAGACATCCATCATGGACATCCAGACCACCGCCCTCTCACCATCGGCATCGATAGCACCTTGAAGATCTTGACTTCTCCTGAGATTAGCCTTGACCGGTGAGAAGCCCTTCTCAATTGGATTGAAGTCCGGGCTATATGCCGGCAAGTAAATCAACCGTACCCCGCGCTCTTCACACAACTCAGCTATCGAGCCCCCGTGATGGATGGGGGCATTATCTAAAACTAGGACTGAATTCCTAGCCGGCCAAGGATTCATGGCCGGCAACTATGAGCAAACCGACCCAATCACATTAGAAATCTCATGCTAATCAATGCAAGGATGGGTTGTGGATACATAACTCACCAACTCTTCTTGCAAGAAAGCTTCAAAGTTTAATCTTGAATAACCACCGCGCTTTATAGTTATCGCCAGTAATCCGTCCAGGGAAATTGCAGGTAAGGCCGACCAACGGCCAGCTCGAGTGGGCCTTGGCAGTCGCGGGGTCCGTTCTCCAATGGGAGAGCGAGCATACTTGCAATACAAACGTCTTTTCGAAATCGCTGTTTCATCTAAAGAGTTGAGAAGGAGAAAAATTCATTGAAAAAGAAGTCGTGACACCAAGAGACCCAAAAGAAAAGGCTTACCTGCAAAAACAAGGCAGTGAGGGTCAATCTCAAGCACAGAAGCCATGTAGGCACCCCGCGCGGCCAAACTTTGGTTGGGGTGAACCGTGCGGGCTTTCTTACGTGTCCAACACAACCGGTCACGTAGCTCGGTAGAAAGCGTCTTGATGGATACCTCCTTATGGAACCTTTCCATTATCTTGCTTTGAAGCTCGTCTAAGTACAAGGTCGGATCAAGTCGAAGACTGTCCAGGACAAACAGTCTCTCGGGTCCTCCTAAGACCAACGGAGCCCCACGATCCATGTGATCCATGGGATTCGTAACGACCGCGCGGGTTTGGTGGTAGAGATTCGTCCAGCGACGTACAGACGTAAGGGCCAAGTCCATTCCAAGGGTCCTTGATATGTCCTGAACGCGAACGCCGGTGAGTGCCAATCGAACCACAGCAAGCTTGATCTCGGGGCTATGATGGGCGATTCAGACCTGGAAACAAAACATATGAGCCAGGCAAGAGAGGAGAGTCTAGAAAAAAAATTGAAATCACCGGCGGCATGGTGCGGATAATTAGAGGATTTGGATTGGGAGGAAGTGAGGTTGAGGTTGAGATTTCTTTTGCCGGGTTAGAAATCACTGGCAGAGGTGGTCTGCCAGTTGATTTCTAACCCGGCAAAACCTATTGGAAGATCAACCACCGGATTACCTCCAGTCTATCTATCTCCATTGCAGATAGACTGACGGATGCCAAGCACGTATGGTGCTACCTTGCAGATATTCCGTGGGAAACTGTCAATATCATTCGACAGTTTCCCACTCGGAAAAAAAAGAAATCCGGTTTTTTCGACAAGGCAGAAAGTGAGTAAAATCTGGGAGTAAAAAAAAAAAAAAAAAAACATTATTTTTCACAAGGGCTGTAACTCATATACACAGTACATGACACAATCTTTGAATCCATGAGCCATATTGGTAATTGGATCAAGTTCAATAGAATCAGTGGAATTGGATGACAATCTCTTTGTAAAGTCTATATCATATTACAATCTGAAAATGCTTGGAAGGGTCAGAAATTTATGTAGAATTTGAAAGTGTACTTTAGAGGTCTTGGCTTGGAAGTCTGGGTCTAAGTGGAGACTTGATTTTTTACAGATCCTTTCTTTTTCCTTTTTCTAACTCCAAACTTCACACCATGGGGAGACCTTGCTTCAAGTGTTGCCGTTGGAAAATTGTACTACATAATGTCCATTGCTTAAGTCAGTCTTTGATCATAACAAGATATTGAATCAAGGTTTGAGAAGAAATACTGCAATGGTGAAATACTGACCTCTTTGGTATATCTATTCCATACTTCCTCATAAGAAGAAAGTTGAGCTTGAGCTTGATTTAACATATTTCTTGAAAAGATACATTTGAATCTGTAAAAAGTCAAGTGATTTGAAAACAATGTTTTCATGTCTGGACCAACCACATCAATCCATCCTAGCAATATATCCCATGTGATAGCTGTCCATTTCTCAAACTTGCTTTCAAACTCCAACTCCAAACACAACAAAGACTGTTGCTCTGAGCTTAAATAATCCCTTTTTTGATAATATGTGCTTCTAGACCAATCACTTTTATTTATGCTGAAAAGTTTTCTTGTGAATTCATCAATCTCCTTTGTGAGCCATCTTTCAAAGTAAGTTCTTGAGAATCTAATGGTGTCTTCTTTACTATCAAATGGCCAGCCCATTTTAAGATATTTAAATAAATCTTGCATACATAACACTTTGTCAAGAAACATTGGGAAAAGACCATGTTCAGCATTCCAAGCAGCCACACTGATACAGGCAGTAGGTTTAGATGGGTAAAATTGTTGAGTAACCATCAACATCTTTTCACCAATCAGTTTCCAGAATCCAGTCATATCACCAATTGAATCCATATTTTCAAGAACTCTTCCTTTACCCAAGACAACCAGAAACGGAATGCTCGTACGGATATGGTTTATGGACAAATGTCTTGTTTTTTTGATTTCTTGTACAACTGGTTTCAGAAGGGTGGCCTCTTCAAGTAGTAATTCAGAGAATTCTGTGGGGTCCATATGTTGGGTTCCTGACTTCTCGTTACAGAATGGCTTTGGTGTGACTTCATTTTCTATCATGAGAGGTGATCCTTTTCCAAAAGTGCCAAGATAAGCTCCATCTTGATCATCAAATATCCCGTCAGACTGTCCAATCCCACTGGGAATCACTTGTGAATTTGGTTTTGATATTTTTGGATCTGGCTCTTTATATGCAGTGCACTTTCTCTTCTTTGAAGTAATTGGTGGTGGTATGGTAGATGGGTGATTAATCCTGCTATTGATTTTATCTGCATGCAAGGAAAGGGTTTCTGGGTAGGTTTGTGCCATATAAGACCACTTTGTCTAGATGAGTTCACTGAAAGATTGAAAACTGACCAGCTGGGACATCACCACTTCTGTGACTGTGATCACCAAAAATTTGGCTCTCAGCTATAGGTGCAAAGGAAAGGGTATCATCAGTCAATAGGTGTGAGAGCACACAAAAACCTAATGAACATCAAACTTACCTGTGTGATCAAACCTAGTTTGAATTAATGGGGCAAGTTCTGGAAGCTCCAAAAGATCCTCCAAACCTGTCCAAGGTTCTGATGGTTCTTGAATTGCCATGTTGGAAGAAAAATGAGGGTTGTGAACTCCTTCAAAGTTTGGGTATTGTATCTCTTGATGGTGTTCAAATGTTGGGTGGTCATATCTCAGACTGTGTAGATTTGCATTTGTCTGACCTATTCAAGACATAACACAGAAGAATTAATGATCAGAATCTGAAGCACTCTACATCACTGTATCTTTGGTAGAATATATTGGCAGGAGATTTAGCTTGATCAAGATCATCCTTGTGAATCAAACTTGAAGTGCTTGTTACTTTTTCCCAAAATGGTAGTGAATCCTTTTCACTTACCACCCACAGAGAATGTGTCACTATTTGAAATGAATGGCCTGTTATAGTGAGGATGGGGTATATTTGGCCACACACTCTCCTGGGCATGCAGTAGAGATGTGGGAGTATACATTGTGATGCCTTGAGGATCTCTGTTGATGGGTGGTTTTGAGTTTCAACATGATTGGATGCAGGAAAAAAAGACATAAATGTGAGAACATGCATTGGATAGCTTGAAATTTGATGGATGGATTCACACACCCTGCCTTTGGCCATGAGGAAGCATAGGTCCCAAAATCTTGTGTTGGTCCTACTATATATCCTGGCACCCCTGTAGCTTCAATACTCTTCATTTGTTCAAATGTTTCAAGATGATTGGGAACCTGAAGCAGGTTGTGATATGATTCTTTGGCTGGTATTCCATATGATGATGATGATTGATGTAAGAGATCTTTTCTTGGTAAGAAGGTCTGGACCACTGACAGCCATTCATCTGTAGCATCAGCAATTGGGAGTTTGGCTCCATTGTAGGCCTGTTTATCAGGTAAAGCTATAAATCAGGCATAGTTCATATCAGCTGGTAGATATGAAAGCACACATTGAAAAAAACCAATGCCTACCAATCATATCTAAGCCAAGGTTGTGATCACCCCCAAATTGGGTTGTTGGCTGAAATGATGGCATCCACAAACTATGCTCTATGTCCATCTGAGGTTTAGGAAATGTCTGGGATCCAATCAAATAAGGAAAATGAAAAGTTCCAACTCCTTCAGCATTGTTAGTCAGTGTTGTTTGATGCCCCCAAAATCTTGTAGACTGATCATCCAGGCCTTGTAAACTTTTCTCAGATATTCCGGATCCCGTACCAAAGAATGAACAAACAACGAGGAATAGTCGCATGAGACGATGATTTCGCTTTGGTATTTCAGAAAAATCTCTTTGTGCCATGAAAACTGAAAGATAGCGAAAAGAAGAAAGTTCTAGGTAGTGTTGTGTGGAATTCACTGCACTGTGTTTTTATTCACTTTGCATATATGTTGAAACTTTTGAATACAGGAAGCGGGTGAGGTTTTGGATTGACTGCTGATCTAGGATATTTATTATAATTGATCTCTTGATGGTGTTGCAGCTGAATGAACTTACTGCACATTTCCTTTGTTATGTCTTCAAGGCGAGTTTCTAAGCCAGTACTGACTGGAAAGCCGTGGGTGATGCATGAAGGAGCCTGGACATGTCAAAATTCATTGCACACCTGGTACGCTGGTAAATGATTTCGAGAAATTGGATAACCCCTGTTGGTGTGCAAGTTCTATTTCAACAAGGCCACCAATGCCACCGCGCAGATATTAGAGGAGAATTTGAGATGAGAACACGAGATGCCGTCTGCTGTATGTTTGTTTTCTTGCAGAAAGAACTTTTGTGCAAACTTTCAACTTTTTATTCTGTGGACCAGGAAGGAAATATATAGAGAGGTCAAGTAGGGTTAAGTTGTTGAGAAAAGTAAAAAAGTTGATACAGCTTAGGATGAGTAGAGTTGATATAGAGTTGATATAAAAAGAAAAAGAAAATGGACGAATTCATAAAATGGACATCAACTTATAAAGTACAACTTCATCAGAATCTTCAAATCATTCAACTTCACTCAACCATCGATGACCAACCACAACATTCGATTCGATTGTCTAACAGAGAAAGCTTCATACCAGCCAACTCAATAGGTAAGTATCTCTTCATGATCATTATCAAGTTATCAACCACTAATCTGTTCGATTCTTTCAGTTGCATCGATACCTAAATCAATTTGTCTTTCACATAGAACTTCATCATTCCAACATCCAGAAACCATATCGAAATGTGAATGTGAAGTTTCAAAAAGTTCAAGTTTGATTTTAACTCAACATTTACTTTATGAAATCAAATTAGGTGAAGAATCTAAATGGTCAGCTTACTTGTCCATCATCTTACCATCATCAAACAGATCTAGACCAAGATTAATAAGTTTAATTCAACCTGATTTGATTCAAGATTATTTGAAAGGAACCGAAATCGAAAGATGTTTAAGATCAGATCAAACGATTAAATACGAATCACTTTTACATTTTTATCAATCTCATCTAACCATCTCACTAAACCAATCTGAAGATGAATGGGAATCATTCTTAGATGCTTATTCAATAGTTTCATCTAGATCATTTTATATTGATAATTTTCATACTTTAGCTTTAGTACCGATAGCTGATTTGTTTGATCATAGTGATCAAGCTGATGTGAATTTGATTTCAGATATTTGGGTTTGTGATCAATGTGGAAGTTTAAATGAATGTGAACTACATGAATCTGATTCTCATCGAATTACAAAACATCATCAAGACCTTCAAGATATCGTCATCAATGATCAAGATAGAGTCGAATTGAAAACTTTGGTTCCCATTCAACATTCAAATCATTCATCAGATCGGATTGTTTATAATTCTTATGGTCCAAAACTTGGAAACCATAAACTTTTCATCGAATATGGGTTTATCATTCCTGAAAACATTCATGATAGAATCAGTTTTGATTTGGAGGAGATCTTGAAGATTTTGGATTTCAACTTGAATCCAAATCAAACTCAAATCTTACAGAAGAGAATTAAATCTATGGAGCTTCAGTTGATGAAAACAATCACCGAAATTGATGAAAATGAGTTGATCCGATTTAAAGAAGAACACAAGGAAGAAGACGAAGACTATCATGATGAACTTTATATTGATTCATCGGCCCGAGTTTCATTAACGCTTTGGATTACTATCTTACTCTTGGATCTCACCGTTCAATCATCTCGTAACTTGAATGACGATGAAATTTTAGATTTAGTAGCAAAATTGATCGATTTTCAACTACAAGACAGTTTCAAACTTAATGATCATGATTCATTCAATTCTTTGAGTGTTGAATTATCTAAAAACATCCAAAGACTTTGTGATTCAAGATTAACAAGGATGTTTGGAAACCAACTCAATTTAGATGAACTTTTAAACTTAAAACAGGTTTGTCTCATAATCTCAAGAAAATCATACCAAACATAAAACTTCAATATTGATGAGAATTGAATTTCTTTTTTAGGTAGACTTGATTCCTTCAGTTGATAAACCTTATCAGGATATGATAATTGATTATCTTGTTGGTGAAAGACTTTTACTTGAATCTTGTAAAACTCGTTGGATTGAACTCAACGATGAAGATCCACCATCCTCGTTATCTTAGATTAAATTGAAGTCCGATCTCTAAAAGGCAAACTGGAAAACGGACAAACGCTCGACGTGATAATTCAACAGAGGTTCATATGACAACAAGGCCCTTGAACTAGGATTGAGAAGATACCGACGAACAGGACTGCCAGAAAGAATCGAGCTACACACCAAATTACGGTTCAGCGCTCAAGAATCTAAGACTCGCACGCAAGCACACTGAAGGTGGATATGACAAAACAAATATAATTCAACTTAGGATGATTTTTCCAAGGTTAGGAAAACATCCCAAGATGACAGCAAAAAACCCCGATATATGCGAAAGCTTGTTTCTTTCGACACTGCTCAGAATGCACGCCGATTCCGCCATCGAAAATCCAACTCCGGATTTCATATTCTTTTTGTGCGCTTAACTTGTGACTTCACTATATAACCTGCTTGGTACAGCATAGAAAAGGTGGTCTTTTCCTGTACATTTCCTCTGCTTCTCTTCACACTTTCCCAGCTGATTTGAAACCCAGAATGTACCAGTATGACTGTTGGTCTGGACAAATCGGTCGCTGGGTTTGAAATCCCTATCTCACATGTGACCGGTTAGAATTTTGTCAAAATTGACTTATAAATCACAATGCCACACGGTTGATAGAGTTATCCGAAATTGCAAGTGTATTTATGGACCATAAGGGAAATATAAAAGCCATTGTATGCATATAAATTGCATTGTGAAATCTCAAGTATCTATACAAACTCATTATAAAAAGAATATTGCAAAACTTTTAATTTTTCTAGATGATGAATCTTGAACACAAACACACACAATCCAAGTTGATTGAATGTCAGATTTCTATGTGACTCCAATCATTGTTGTTCCATGTACGTCTTACATCAACTGTAGTTTTTGGAAAGTTATACTGATATAAAATGTAAATTGCTCATCAGTAAATGAACTCAAATTATGGCACTATATCAGATGTAAGTATAAGGTACCATACCTCTTGAGTAAAACTATCCCAAAGCTTTTTGTGATTTCTTGCGGTGTCATAAAGAGAAAAATTCACAGCAGCCTTCCTGACGTAAAGTTTCTTCAAGTTATTTAAAGATACTGAACCTTCAAACAGAGCTCTCATCTCCGGACCAAGCTGATCGATCCAACCCCTTAACAATTTCCAAGAAAGACCTCTCCAAGCATCAGGACTTGAAGAAAACTCTAGCTCAAAGATCACATGAGATTGTTCTTCTGTTAACAATGTGTTTCTTGTACCATAGAGATGATTAGGATCTTTTCCTTTGATGGATTCTGTGATTGCCTTGATAAATTCAGAGAGCTCTTCTGTGATCCAATTTTTGAAGTAACTTACTGATGATCTCAAAGTATCTTCTTTAGTATCAAATGGCCACCAAAAATTCAACCTACGAAAAAAATCTTCTAGATCTGTTACTTTATGAATAAACAAAGGAAAGATACAATGTTGAGCTCTCCAGGAAGCCAAGCTAACCCAAGCACAACGTCTGTCTTGAAAGAAAGTCTTCAAGATAGGCAACATTTTTGATTCGATTTGATTCCAGAACTGAGACATATCACCAATGATATGATGGTTTTGTAAAACTAGTTGTTTTCCATAGCTAAGACAGAAAGGAAAAGTGTTACGTGAAGTGACTTTGAATCCTATACTTTTTAAAATACTGCTGAACCTTTTGTTTTGTACAAACAGATGACTTTCAAATTCATAGAGATCCATTAATCTTGGGTTGATAGTAGTAGTCACCTTAGGATTTGGGTTGGTATTGGTAGATGGTAAAGGAACAGTTTCAATTTTCCCAGATGTTACAACTGAGCTTTTTGAAGAATCAGAATGGCTTCTATTGATTTTTGATCCTTCTTCCAACATTTTGCTACTTTTTTCTTGTGATTGTTTTCCTATCTTGATTCTCTTGTTGGTTTTATTTGGTTCTATATCATGCTCTTCTGACATAATTACATTCATTTTCTTTCGTTTTCTGGACTTGGGTTTGGATGCGGAAATTCTCATTTCACCATGAGTCTTTTTTTGATTGGATTTAGTGGAATTTTCTAGAACTGGCTGAACAAGTATTGGACTGCCCAAAATTTCTTTCGATCCAATGGCTTTTGATGGTGAGATTGAACTTGATTCACTTATGTGTCCTGGTGGGATCAACAAGCTCAAATCATCTTCAAGAGGTACAGGGACACTTGGGGCCTCACTTGGTCCATCACAGATAGTTCTTATGGCATGGTTGCCTTGAGGTTCTGTTGTAATGGTTGATGAAAAGCTTCCTGATTGATTTGGAACATGATTGGGCACATTCTTGTCAGAATTTGGAGGACTTTCAAGGTGAGCCACATGAGGGTATTGAACATTTGTTGTGCCTGGGTAGGTCATTGGTATTGCTTGTGGTGAATGAGTTGCAATGTCTATCCCTTTTGTACTTTGTTCAGGTATTCCAAGAGGTCCATCTAAAAACAAATTTTGTAAGTATAAGCTTCATCATAGACACATATGAGGATAAAATTCTGTTTAAGGAAAACTGTCTCTTCCATGGTAGGAAGAGACACATTGCCAGAATCAAGGGGAACACATACTGATATTCAAGTTTACTGGAGATTCAGGATTGAAGTCTGCATACTTACTTGGGGTAACAGATCCAGGAACCAACCATTCATCCAACAAACACTGCCATGGGTTAGATGATCCATGATCCTCTCCCTGTGTTGAAAGATCTATAGGAAAATCAAATACTTGGAAATTTAAATTGTTTATTGTCTGATGACCTTCCAGGTTATCAAAGCTTTTATCTAGCTCTGGTAACTCTTCAAATGTTGTAAGGCTGTCCCACAGTTTATCAAGGGCTAAGCAAGGGCCAATTAACAGTAATAAGAAAAATGTAGCTTGATTCCATAGGGCTGAAATGGAGCTTCTCACTTGCATCATGTTAATGTTGAGGTAAGTGTTGGGGGGATTTGTAGATGTTGGAGCTAATCTTTGAGATGTGCATCACAAGTCTTTATTGTCTCATGCATATTCCATCTTCATACCTGTGCTATAAATTCTACTCTCCAATGTTCCTCCGTTGTTCAGGCATTTGTATGTATATGTGCTGCGTGAAGTTATTTTCTTTGAATCTGAAGCTATCTGAAGTAGGTGTTACTTGCTACATGCGCAGTTTTGATCATCTTCACACTGCCCTGAAGGTGTGATAGGCTGTGATAGATGTATTGTACAATACATACTATGTACACACGTGTGTCATGCTTCTATATAGTAGCATACACTCGCTGTGACATCTGCGTGATACACTACGCCCACTCCCAGAAGCTCAGGCTGTACGCGCGGCAAAGTTTCGGCAACCACCGATTTGGAAAAAAATTAAAACCAACTGAGCACCTTGCAAGAGTCTTCAACTTAGATATCCATACCAACGACTACATTCTCAACTTCAACTTTCAAGCAGAAATGGCCAACCTTTTCCAAAAAAGAGTCTCATTGATCCTCACTCCCTCTCGATCATCAAAAGTCTCAAAGAACATTCAGATACGGTCTTTGCCATGCCCTCCAAGGTCATCGTTTGCTTCCTCCTCACAAGTGGTACCTAAGTCGAATGCATCGGGTGGGCTGAAAGCTATTGGACTTCTTGGACTTCTTGGACTGGTCGGAGTAGCTTTTGGCGTACCTGGTGAATTATCAAGACGAGAAAAAAGAAAAGTTACAAATGAGGAGAATCAGGTTGAGAGTAAGGAGGTCTTGGTATCACAGACTGAAGAAAACACCTCAACTGAGGAATCAGCCGAATCTCCTTCAAGTCAACAAAGTGCTTTCAGTGCGTAATATTTGATCTGAATGATCATCACAAAGTTGCTGATCTGTATTTCTCTTCAAACTTTTTGCAATCCTTTTTTAGATCCTGAAACGGGTGAGATCAACTGGGATTGCCCTTGTCTAGGTGGAATGGCTCATGGAGTCTGTGGAGAACAATTCAAGTCTGCTTTTAGTTGTTTCGTGTACAGTGAGGCAGAACCGAAAGGTGTTGAATGCATAGATAAATTCAAATTGATGCAAGAATGTTTCAAGGAGCATCCTGATGTATACGGTACGTCGAGTTACTCTTGCTCCTCGTTGATATCTGCTTTGAGACTAACCATTTGATACTTGGGGTCATCGGATTGGTACATCATATAGGTGAAGACTTGATTGGCCAGGAAGAAGATCAACAGCAGAATGAAGATCAGGAGCCGGTTGAAGAGGACGATTTTACCAGACCTCTTACTCCACCTACTAGTGATGATTCCAAAAATTCAACAACCTCTGTTACCTCCTCGTCCGAGCCGGGCAGTGATACCTCTGATACCCCATCACCTGCAACAGTCGATCAAAGTCTCGAAGCCAATGAATCGATTAAGACATGATCAAATGATCGATGACTGAGATCATTAAAAAGAAATTGGACCAATTCGATCGCACAGGGTCACAATGTACAATCTAATAGAATTCATAATAGGCCTGGATGTACCATGTTTGCTAGTAAATTATAACATCACGTCCACTCTTGCGTCACAGACCACACCAGTGTGTCTTAGAGCACTAATAGACAAAAACGACTAGCCACACGAGCATTCATAGTTGCATAAAAATACTAAATATGATATGGCACTTTTCTTGTTTGTTGATCATTCATTGTCATACTTTGAGCTTTTTTTCTTCAAAAATGAAGACAAGAAGTGACTAGAATAAGATCAAAACCACGAATTGGCATGTCCAAGACACAACTCATCTATAAGTAGGACTGATTGGTGATTATTGGTATGTGAGCTCCAAAGACCAAGTCCCTTTATGTATCCTTTTTAATGTTTCCGGCTTCACCTCTCGGCAAAAACTTTCAGAATTCTGACATGATGTTCTTCAGATGTTGATATATCCTGTGTTACATATACGTTTATACGTCTTATAAGAAGCAGAGAGCTCTGCAAAGCCAAATAAACTCGCCAAAAATTGAGATTGTTGTGCAGTACATATAGATGTAAAGCGTCGTGTCACACAAGCGAGAACAGCTAAACCAGAGCTGTCACTTGAATGAGAAGAGATGCGAAGATGAGAGTGTCACGAAATGGAATACTCCGAAGAGTGAAAGCAAAGATGAATCTAATGATATTATTAATTTCTGATGATCAGAGAGAGAAATGAATACAAGCATTCTAGATACATTATATACAATTTGCTTTAACGCTGAGAAGTTGCTCAGGAACTGAGTTCTTACAATTAGAACTCAAGGAAAGGACTCAGCGTATAGTCATTCTATCTGAGTGCTGAATCGCAGGTAAGTGTCGAGTACTCAGTGATACGCATTGTGTATCAACATCCCCCCTTGCTCGATACTTTCGCGGGTTTAGGAAGTGTATTTGTAGATATAAGGTGGATTTCTTTTGTATTTACATTACCAATTAGAAATCGGCATCGATTAAGCATTTCCTTAGGGGCATTCTTGGTGAGAAAGTCGGCAGGCATTAATTTTGTATCAATCATGTGTGTGGAAATTTGATGTGAGAATATTAGGTCACGAATGAAATGGTGTCTTATATCAATATGTTTGGAGCGGCTGTTTGTAGCTGATTCTTGAGAGAGGAATACTGCGCCGTTATTGTCGTTGAAAATGCTGAGAGGTGGTAACGAGATTGGAGATGTTGGGATGGGTGTTTGGGTTAGGTGTGATATCATTCTTCGAAACCATAAGCAGTGTTTTGCACAGTCACCGAGTGCCATGTATTCTGCTTCTGTAGTGGAAAGAGCTACGGTGGGTTGTCGACGGCTTTTCCAGCTTATTAATGATCCACCTAATGTAAAGACATATCCAGTCGTAGATCTGCGAGTTGTGGTACAAGCTGCGTAGTCAGCATCAGCATACGCGCGAAGTTCGGTGGATGGAGTTTTGTGCTTTTTGAATACAATGCCACGATCCAGAGTTCCTTGAATGTATCGTAGTAGGTGTTTTACTACTTGCCAGTGACGGTAGGTATATTTTGATGAGTAGCGTGCTAATGTTGATACGGCATATTGTATATCGGGTCGAGTGTGAACAGCAGCCCAGTTAAGGCAGCCGATGGCTTGTTGATATGGTAAGTGGGCAGCATCTTCAATCTCTTCATCTGTTCCAGGAGATAGTTCCATAGAGGTTGGAAAAGGTGTTGAGGTGGTGTTGCAATGTGTCATGTCAAATCGATCGAGAACATTCTTGAGGTAATGTTCTTGGGAAAGATGGATTGTGCGATTAGTTCTATCTCGTGTGATTTTGACGCCAAGATGTAATGTGGGGTTAGTGGTCCATACGAGCTTGTAAAGTTGTTCTAGTTTCTCTCTGGTTTCTTTGATCAGGGATTTCGAATTTGAGAATACAAGACCGTCGTCAACAAACATGGGAATGTGAATTATCTCTTCATTTCTTCGAAAGGTGAAAAGTGAGTTGTCGTCTTTGTATGGGGTGAAGCCAATGCTGCGAAGTTTTTCTTCCAGATCAGAGTTGAATTCTCGATGCGCTTGTTTTGTTCCATAGATTGATTGTTTGAGAAGCCATACTTTTGTCGGAGATTTGGGGTTGTAGAAGCCTTGTACTTGTCGTGTATAGACAGGAAGTGTGCATCTGACCAGTAAGGAAAGCAGTGCATATATCAAATTGCTCCATTTCCCAGTCCTCAGAAGCGCAGAGAGAAAATAACATGTTCATTGTGTCTGACTGGACTACTGATGCAACGGTTCCATCATAATCAACTCCCCATATCTGATGATTACACTAAAGCTACCCATCTGGCTCTTTATTATGACGATATAACCCTATTCTCCTCTCTTTTCTTTCTAGACGCCACATACCTCCTATTATGTTGCTTCTGATGGAGCATCAACT